TCAAAGAGCTCAAAAAAAGACCATATAAAAATTTTAATGTAGAATAGATGATCAAAACTCCCAGCATTTTTTTTTAATTTTGAAAAAAAAAATCAGTAATGTACCAAGTACCATTTTCTTATAAAAAAGATACTCAGAATAGATAGACATTCCCTTCCCCGCTGGCCTAGCACGTTCTGGTAGATGCATAATAATAAAATGTGCTGAGAGGTTTCTCCCAGTTGTGTTTCAGTGCACAGATTAAGTCATGGATTTATAGACAAATAAAAAGACTGTTTGGCATCCTGATGAAACTGCGGTTAAAGTTAGAACTGGATTCTGAGAATATAATTTTTCCTGAGATACCTGCTCTAGAATCTGGAGATTGTCTTGTTTCCTAAATGTAGGTGTGCAGATCTAGATTTTAATAATTTTGTGTGTCTGAGTAACTCACTATAACCCTGAAAAGTGAGACCCACTAGGGATTTGGTATTGGGACAACACAGTTTCTGAGATCCTGAGAAATGATCCCTGTTCTTGCTTTCTCTGTGTGTGTAACTGCTGAGTGACCCTGCTCTACTCATACACGGGGAACTCCTCTAGCTCAGACTCAAGCTATAAGGAAAGAGGTGAGGATGAATTTTATAACTTAATTTATTTGGAATATAACTGACAAGGGTCAAGTACTTTTATTTTGGACTTTAATTCCTTCAAAATTAACATTATTAGACTTGAATTTGCAATAGCATTTGATATTTGATATTTGATCAAATTTGATTAAAGGAGAGGATTTGTATTGAGTAATGAACAAATGGGTGAATTTTCAGTCATGGGTGCAAAGAGGCCTTTGATTTAATTCAGTTTGACCTTATGAAGGTAGGGGCAAAATTACTGTCACGGATAGCTGGCATCACTGCATTCCTATTTGACAGTAAACTAAATATTTCCAAAGGAAAACAACTGAATAAAAGAGATCTTTTTCTCTTTATGCCTGGTTTTTCTCTACATAGGAAGGGAGATCAAATAGTTTGAGGTGACTGCCCTCTCTCTGTCCCTTTCTGCCCAGAGTATTTTGAATGACATCTGATTCCCTGTTTAAGGAAATAAATTAAACATGCTTTGCTCAATTTCTTCATTTTTCCTACTGGGAGGAACTAAGTACTGGGAGAAGGGATTTTCTTCGGTTATTTTAGACCACAAATCTTACTCTGCAAAACACATGAACGTGGCATGTGCTTATGTGTTCATGTGTGTTTGTATGTGTTTGTTGGGTATGTCATATGGATAAATATGAAAAATTCTGGCAGTTTTTTGTATAAAACAAATCCCTTTTGCTCATATAGAAGTTAAATCCTCAAGTGGGGAGTGTAATAGCTTAGTGGTAGAGTGCATGCTTAGCATACACAAGGTCCGGGGTTCAATCCCCAGTGCCTCCGTTAAAAAAAAAAAAAGAAGTTAAATCCTTGATAATTTGGCCTCCACCTGCTACAATTTATTTAAGTCTAATTTTTTAATTTAATCAAAACTCAGGTAATTTAGAATGATCCTATTTATTGGGACTTTACAAAGACCCTTATGACAACCTTTGATAATCCTGAGGTATAAAGTGAGGCAAAAACGTAATCAGATTTACTCACAGAATTCAGCAGGAAAAATATACTTAGGTTTCTCCTCTATCTTAACCCAATATAAGTGAATTAAAGGCCTTTAAATATTATTTGGTAGCATGTTGCTTGTTCACTTTTCTTATGTCATTTTCTAAATCAGTGTATTTTATATTGTCGTTCTTACATAATACATGTAACATATGTTATATGTCATATCATGTGTGTAATATATATTATATTTAATATCTTCAAGTTAAATTTTTTTATAACTCGTGAGTTCTGGAATATCACACCTGTTCTGTATTTTAAATATCCACTGGAGTTGAGGGATAGGAGTGTGTGTCAGTGGAAGTTCTCTTCCATGGAAATAAATTACCAGGAATCCTTTGGAAAAGGGCACTTTTATTCATTCATTTATTTATTTAAAATAAGTTACAATATTGTTTGAATGTCTAAAATGTGCCCTGAATATTCTAGGCCATGGGGACAGAACACTGAATCAAATAGATAAGATTTCTCAAATTAGAGAGATTTTTCTAGACTAAAAAGATTCAGTCAATAAACAAAGTAAATAAATAAATACATTAATAAACTTGGCATTTCCAGATAGTAATTGTTGCTAAGAAAAAAACAAATCTAAGCAATGTGATAGAGAGCATATCAATTATGTACTGCTATGCGTCAAGCCACATTAAAACTTAGTAGTTTAAAATTACTCTTACTTACTCACTTATGATTTTCTGAATTGACAGTTTGGACTGGGTTTTTGTTTGGTTTCATCTGTGACCATTTATTCAGTTATACTTATCTAATGGCTTGGCAGTGGCTGGAAGTTCAGGATGGTTTCATTCACATATCTAGAAGTTAGCTTTGAGTGGACCTCTTCAAGGGTTTGCCAGGGCTTCATCACATGATGATCACAATGCAAAAAGAGGATAACTCCCAATGTGCAGCGCTTGTTAAACCTCTCCTTGCATCATTTTTGTCTCATTGGCCTATGCAAGTCAGACAGCAAAGTTCAGTCAATGTGGGACAGGGCTATACAGGGGAATGGGTATTAAATATTGTGTTCATGGGGTGCAACTAGTTATCTCCAAAGAGTGTTACCTGTGTGTGTGTGTGTGTGTGTGTGTGTATGTGTGTTTGTTGGGGGTTGGGAGCGTCTATCAACTTCAGTAACCAGGGAAGACTTCAAATAGGAAGAAACAGTTGAGCTCAGATCTGAATGTTGAGAAGCAGCCATCTCACATTAAAAATCTAGTAATCAATTCAATTTTCTATACATTATAATTTTTCTTTTCATTTATTATGAAGTAACTGAGATATGCTGAAAAATAAAAGAAAAAGTAGCAAATAGTGCTTGTACCAAAACCTGACTTTGAATACAAGCATAGCATCTTTTGTTAAATTTATTCCTAAATCTTTATTTGAACACTAGTATACATGATTTTATTTAAAAGGTTTTTTAAGTATTTGCTTGTAGCACATTGAAATGTAGCTGATTTTAGTATAGTGACTAGTTATTCTGCAATCTTACTACTATACTGACTTCTTAGATACAGCTCCTATTTTGTAGATTCTTTAAGATTTTCTAAGTAAATAATTATGCTTTCTGCAAATAAGGCAGTTTTAATTTTTTCAATCTGTAAACCTTATATTTTCTTTTCATGCCTTATTTCAATGGCTGGTGACTTCAAATGGTTGACATTCTTGCTTTGTTTTGAATCTCATGTTTTTCATGAATTTAAATGCAATAATGGGAGTGAGGGCCATCTTGTGGATATAATTATTTTGAGTGTATTTATTTTCCTTTACTCAGTGTTAGAGTAGGTTATCTTGCTGTCTTCTTCTGTATAGCTGGATTAATTTCTCATTCACTCTTACGTTAAATTTGTATTTTCAAGAATCCCATTTTTATGCAGTGTTGTCCCATGAGATACCCCAGCATGGACACCCCTGAATTTTAGTCTCCTTTCCCAATTCAGTCACCTAACAGAAGTCTAATGTATCCAAGTTTCAGTGAAAATTCTCAAATTGAGGACTATGGTTGGCACCAGGTTTGTCTTCTAATATTACGAGTTTTATTTCATTTGGGGATGTGGTATATCCTTACTTTGGGGTCAGTTCATTGACATATTTAAAAAGACATGTTAAAATTCTACTAGCCATTACTTTAGTCCACACAGTTAGAATATTTAACCAGTATATTACAAACAAAACAAACATGCTGCTGAGAACACAAATTCAAACTTAGTCTTTAGAGAAACTGAGACCTCCCTGTTGATCTCACAGGATTTGGGGAATGATTAAATAGGTCAATATATGTAAAGTGCTTAAAAAGTGCTTTGTACTTAGAAAGTGCTGTAGAGCTATTAGGTATTTTGCTATCACAGAATTTTGTCATATCAT